TCTATAGATTTCTGCATGGTGAGCAATGGAGTCATTCTGGTGGGAGAGGGATTGCTATTTGAGTGACCTATTGCCACAGAGCTGGTTAAATCACGGAACAATAGTTACTGTTACGGGGCTTTACTTTGCACAAACTAGCATTAGTATCATTGCTTTCTATTAACCATGGAACTTGCACTGGGGACTTCCAGAGAGAGGGTGGAGCTATGAAATAAGAATAACTTTTGTAGTACTGTCTTAGCATTTACACTTCAAGACATTTAACAATGTACTTGTTCTCAACCTATCTGCGTATACCCTGTACTTCTCTTTTTTCTTATTGTTTTTCTAAGATGTTTTCAAGTGCCCCTACTAAGAATCAATACATTTCTACTCTGAAGTTCAAACATAAATACACTCTAAAAGCCAATCATAAAGTAACAATAAAAAACATACCTAGTAAACAACTAATTTTTAATTCAAAAGGTACTAAACAATAAAGGGCCTAGAATGAACATCCCAATTAGCCAGTGTAGTGACAAGCAGTCAGCACCTTATTATTTCATCATTAAAGAGAATCTTGCCATAATTTCTCTTTGACATATTAAAAAAAAAAAAAAATTAAGAACAGGCCACATGACCCCCAACAACAATCACAAATAAAGTCAGAGGCTGCTAAGACCCCACTGGTCTCAAGACCTGTGGACTGAGAGGTTCCAGGATCAGGCAGAAGTGGGACCCTATTAGGCATTTACAATTTAAATAAGACTATCAAACGCAAGCACTTAGAAACATACCACGTGACAAGGGGGCCATTTTCCTGCCCCTCACTGTTTGTGTCCCAGTCTTCTTATTGGAGGAAAACAAATTGCCTCTACCTCTAGTATTAGTAAATATCCACTGGCCCTATCTTTTTTTTTTTTTTAAGCAGCAGATCCAGTCCATCAAGGACATTAGGTTGTTCCTTCCCCATTCCTTACCATAACACCTCCCCCAAAGAGAAAGCTTAACACTCCTTTGGGCACATCCCACTACCCCATTTACAGGGAGGGGGTGGTTTCAGTCAAGTCCTAGTTCAGTTTTAAGAATTTTAACCAAAACTCTCCTTTGGAAACAACATTCCCAACTTTTCAAATAAAACCATCGCCACCAGGGTCCCCAGGCCCAATTGGGAACCAAAGGGCACTGACCCAGGGCTGCCCTGCGTCCGGTGGCCCCGCGGCCTAGCGCTCTCCAGCCTGGGCCGCGCAGCCCCGGCGGCTGCCCCCTGGGAGCCCACCAGCACTTGGCATTTAACCTGCCTGGCGAGCGTGGCGTTCGTGTTCCATTTCTGCGAGCCATATTACTTCTCCCCAGACGTCAGAGACAAATCTGGATTAACATGCAACAGAGTGCCCTGTGCAGCCCGCCGGCCCTAACCTAGGAGCTGCTAAATGCAGATTCAGCCGAGAACCCCCCGGAGAGCGGCTGTTGGGTACAAACTCTAATCCAAAGGGAACACTTCTCTGCCTCACAGGGACAATCAGGGCCGCTCCGGTGGCGGAGCACAGGCCCATTGAGTACCAGCTCGCTACGCACAGACGTGGCCACCCCAGAAGGCGGCCTTGGGGGCCTGGAGACCCTACTCGTCTCGCCACTCCCTCTCCCGACCCATTCTGGGAGCGGAAAACGCTCGGATTCAAGGAGCAGTGAGCAGCAGACAACCCTGGGAGGCTTCATTCGACAGCTCCTACATGGAGCGCAGTCTAAAATCTACCATCTGGGCGGCCAGTTTTCTTCCTCGTCTTGCCCCTCGCAAGGCCCCCAACTCCACCCTGTGCCCCCAAACACGCGCCCCTCCTCCCTTCGGACCCGGGTCCTTTTCTGTCGCTAACCAGGCCCGACACTCACCTCGACGCCTCGCACCTCGGTCCCCTTCTTTGCCCGCAGCCCGGCCCTCCACGCCCCTGGCTGCCCTCAGCTTGGGGAAGCGCGGCCGTCGGGAGAGGGCGCCCGGGAGGCCTGCGCTAGCCGGACGTGGCTCTGAGGACAGGGGACCTCTGGGCGGCCTCCAGGACGGGTTGGGGGACGAGGGTCGGGATTATGGCTTCTAGTGGCGTCTGAATTTGATGCAAACTCCCCACACCAACAATTCTACAACGCCAAGTGGATTTCCGCCGCCTTTGCCCTCCGGGAAACCCTCTGGTATCACAGTCGTCGATCCCCCGCGCGGGTGGCAACCTTCGCGCCCTCCGAGGAAAACATGTAAAGTCAAGTAAACCCTGCTGCCAGCAGATCCCACAGGCACGGAGTTAATGAGCTAACGAGGTCCCGCGCTCGCACCACACCTGAAGCGGTCCAGTTCTGGAGCGCACCTTCAGCCGAGGCTCAAACTGGCCGGGCCGCATTCGCAGACAGGTGGAGAGGCTGGCCTTTTGGGACTCGGCTCCCAGGGCGCCGCATGTGGGGTCCAGAGTCCTCGGGCGCGGGCGAGCTGATTCCAGTCTCGAAAACTGGCGCCTTCGAGGCGGCCCTGGCGCTTCATCCTTCTCTCCCCCACCTTCCCACGCCAGGGGAGCCCACCCAGTGCCCGAGGGCGCGCGGGATTTGTGGGCACAATCTTGCATGCGCTCTGTACTCAGCGCTCCCCTCTCCAAAAGGGGCCTAGGTATACCTGCCCCCGGCTCCCGGGAGCCGGACCGTTAAAAGGAGGAAAGTTGGGTTTGCAGCTCTCGGACGAATAGAAGACCTGGGTGAGCCGGCAGGGCCACTCGAGCGCGCCCACGCGCCCCGGCCGACAAGGCCACGAGCTCAGCAAGCCGCGTCCCTCCCAAAGCTGCGAAGCCCATTCTTACCCGGCGGAGACCGAGAAGTACGCTCCAAACGGCTTTTATTTTGTAGGTAGGGGAGGAAAATAAAATGCATTTTAACCTAAACAATCGCACACCAATCTTCGTATATCTCAGATTAAGGTAATTGGGTAACAAAAGTTTACGGAAGGCGTATGGGGAGAACTCAATGATGTTATATCACTTTTGTATGCCCCCCAAAAGAACCCCATAACTTTGCTTCTCTATCTTTGACTTTAATAAAATAATGATTCGTCGAGAAAATGGGGTATAAATCTTCATTTTAGAGGCAATTAAAGTGTTGATTTCATTCATGCCCCTAAGCTATTCTTGTAATTTGCTCAAATAGCTTTATGTACCCAGCACTCAGGAGCTTTTAGAATCCCATTTTCTAGTTAGGCTTGTTGGATTACAATTTTTATTCAACAGCAGCTACCTAAGGGTTCCTCGGCTGAATCTGCATTTAACAGCTCCCGGGCGAGATCTGGCGGGCTGAACCAGGCGGGAGGCCCGGCAGCCTGCGGGGCCGGGGCGGGAGCCGCCGGCAGCTTTCCTACCTCGGCCACACCGCGCCAGGATTGCTTAGGCTCCTTGTTCTGAGCACTCGTCTACACTGCCGAAAGTTTACAATTCAGCGAATAATAATGACCCGGAGTGTTGGCGCTGTTAAAGCTCAGCTCTCTGCCTGCCCCTACTCATCTTGGGTAAAGTAGGAATTATGCCACTGTCGTGGGGTCTCCCAAAGACACCTAGCCTGTTTTTGTTCTGCTTTGTTTTGTTTTTAATTTTATTTTAAGGGGGCGATGCTGGGAGAAAAAAACTTTGAGACAACACCAAGACCGAAGTGTCAGGGCATTCCGGCAAGGACCCCGCAAGACAGTCGCTGGCCAACCGCGATCATTGCAAATCTTGCAAAGGAAAACTCTGCCGGCCTAGCTGGCCTTTGGCTTAACAAAGGCAGGCTGATTTCTCCCCCAAGACGGGATTCACGTGCCAAGTTAGAAAGAGAAACAACTTCGGGGCTTCGCTTCTTTGTGGGGGCTGGGAGAGGCCGGCAACCTAAATCTCCAGACGGGTTGCAACAATTCGCAACAGAGAGCTGTCCTGGGCCCGGTTTCATCTCACCCACTCCTCACGTTTTCACTTTCATTGCGTTTTTGCAACTCCTTTGGCCCAGTCCAGAGACACAGCGACGAGAGAGAGAGAGAGAGAGAGAGAGAGAGAGAGAGAGAGAGAGAGAGAGAAACTGGGAGCAAAGAATGGTGTCGGAGTGAGAGAGAGAGAAATCCCCCCAGCAACTCCAAATAAAAGGCATCCCCACTTAACAAGGCAGCGGAGGAAGGGCCTGGAGGGAGCACAGGAAAGGCGGGGGCTCAGGAAGCCAAGAACCGGCAGGAGAGAGCAAAGGCAGCAGAAGTCCCCCTCCCGCCACATCGAGGGAGCCACTGGGGTGCCCAGACGCTGACACTTCCAAAAGCTGCCAACCCAGCGGGCCCAGAGCATGGACCAGCTGGAGGATGCGTGCAAAGGACAGGGAGAAAAGTCCATATTTGTCTGTTTTTATAACCTCGTCCTGGTCTTATTTTTTCTATTAAGTACAATAAAATGGGCGAGCTTGCAGCAGGCACTGCACAAAGCAATGTTCAGTGAGGTCTAGAAGCGTTCGGCCGAGGAAAACTGACAAGACAGGCTAATGAACCGTATAGACAGGGAGAAAATAGCCAGCATTTGCTAGATTTCAAACCCTCGCTGTCTCTCTTAGACCACCTATCTTGGATTTATTCCTAATAAAATAAGAAATAAGCAGACCCTACACTTTTCTTTTCTTCGAGATAGAAGGGGGGTGGAAATGCTCCGGAACAAAGCCCTACAATCAGAGGCGGTCACTGGCAGTTAACACTCCCATTATTATAGAGGGTAAATAAAATAAAGACAAAAATTAAAAGCGACAAGAAACAGGTCAAGTTTGCAGGCAAAGCTTTTACAAGCTCATCTCTACAGGTCGAATCCCAGAGCCAGCCTTAATGAAGCAATAATAGCCACATTATTCAAAAATTTTCATTTCGATGGAAATGTATCTAAAGGGGACTTAATCATATGCAAATAATAAAAGGAGGTGGTAGTGACCCAGCAAGCAATATGCATACAGATTTTTTTTTTTTCCAGTGATGTTGAAGATTGAAAAGCGCATACCTGGTCAGTTAGATTTGCTGATCTTGTTATATCTTCACTGTCCGATTTTGATCCTCCTTCTCTATCGTCTATCACCAAATCGATAGGCATTTTCCCTTTCAAACAGCTAATATACCGGTGGCAGAAATTGTCACATAATTCGTGTACCTACATTATGACAGAAATAAAAAAATGGAAATATAATCAGGAGTGCATAAATGACATTGACAAGTGCAATCCACCCCCCTTGTGAGATCCAAACTTCCAAACAGGGGAAACACAGGGCAATTGTCCTCCAGAGACCCCCCAGACGCATCCAGAATTAGGAATAACTTTCTTTTCTTGCAAAATAGAGATATCCCAGAAAATTGACAGTGACAAGATGATTCACAGGCTACAACATATTCAACACCCGTGTTAAATTCGTCTGCTCCCGGGGCTGTGGCCATTAGAGAGGTGACCTGTGTGGGTGACATTTAAGGTAAACTATTTAATTTCATCCAGTTACTTTATCATAAATTCTTTTTCAAAGTGTCTGAGGAAAAATGTGAATATATATATATATATATATACATTCATACATATCCAAAGGCCCAGTACTGTGGTGGCAGAGGATGTATGCCTGAAAACTCAAGTCCCTACAATGTTTGCAACTGGGCTTTCTATTCATAAGGAGCATATATTAGGATACTTCCTTTAAAGAAAAAAAAGAAGGAAATCAAATTGCCAGTACCTGTGATATGAAAAAGCCTACAGCCAGAACTTATCAAATTGATATTTTTTTTTTTTTAAGGAAAAAGAAAGCCTCACAATATTTAAGGGTAAGTCGAGAGGTCTCTTGCAGGCCCAGCCATCACTGACATGCAAAATTTCACAAGAAACCCCAGACTGCTTGCAATGCAATGTTAGTTTGAATTACAGTGCATTAAGTTTTTTATTGCTGAGATTTATAGAACAGCTAGCAAAATCATGTTATCCCACACCCATTTTCTTGGGTATGAAGATGAGGTGTGTGCTGGATTCACAGATTCAAGAAATTGACACAACTATCAACTCTGCTTTGTCTCTGCAAAACGTTTACTGTGCCTCCCCCACCACCTCCTCCAGGCTCCCTGCCTGCTCCTCCTCCCGCTCCGCCTCTCCCCTGTGTCTGACCTGCCGCTGCTCTCAGACTGTCTTCCAGAAACTCACTAAACTAAACAAAACTTTTTCCCCCTCAGAGTTAGCAAAGAAGAGGAGGAAGAGCCGAGACCACATAGGTATAACTTATGAAGCAAATTCGCAACAACATTTGAAACATCAACTGGGATGCATAGAATTCCAACTATTTACACAAAGCCCGCAAGGTAGTAAGAACGACACAAGGCTAGGGCATTTGTGATTCCAGTTTTAGTGACTGAAATTGTAATTAAACTGCAAAGAGAAATAGACGCTAAGATTGGCCTTGACACCAATTACCAGAAGGAAAGACATTTATGCAAATGTCACAGAAGTCTGAACTTCAGCCATCCCGAGCCCTCCCTCTCTGTGTGTTTGGGGGTGATCGGGAAGCAATAGGAAAAGCGGTAGAGGAATTACCTTCTCTAATTCCAACAGATGAAACCTTAATACTTGTATGGCTTGAATCATCTGCAAAGATACAAAAAGAATGAGCACCTCATTCCTGGTTTGTGGAAAATTGGCTGTCGCGGCTCTAGCATCTCCAGCCAGCCCCCTCCTCCCAGTAAACAGAGTTATTTTGATTTATGGCAATAACACTAAAACTTAATAGCAGCGACTGGGTACCATCTAGAGGTTTATATTTCTTAAGGAGAAAAAAATAGCTAAAATAACAACAAAGCATCTAAGTGGGGATCATAAACACTCTCCTCCCCCACGACTCTCCCTTCTCTCAGCCCCACACCTCCCTCTCCAAGGGCCACATCCCTGGACTCGCTTTTTCTTAGGAAGGAGTGGACAGAAAATAGTCCAAATCGCCCCCAATGGTGAGTTTTGACATTAAAACTTCCTGCTGCTCTACGCACACCTTGCAGGCAAAATTGGTTGTTAGGGGCCCTGGCCTGGTCGCTGCCCTTGTGACGCGACTCTGAGGGCTGGGAAGTCCGCAAAGTTTAAGCACACACGCTGACAGGCCCAGAGATAAATCCCCGCGCTGATTAGGGCTGCGCAGCCCGCCTATCATAAAAAAACAAAAGCTCGCCTTGCCCCGCGCCGCCTTGCCCGGCGCCTCTCGAGATGAATTTATTTCCCCGGGACCTTGTCCCGGACCACTTGTCCGTGGACAGAAACATTTACAGCCGACTTGCAGCTACAGGCAGACCCGTGTAGAAACTCAGGGCTCTCAAAGCAAAGCTGGGGGCGTTGGGTGGGGAGATGGGGGCAGGGTAAGGAGTCCGCTCTTACCAAGTTATCCAGTTCTGGATTAGAAGAAAATAGAGGTTTTTCTGCGCGAATCTAAATACAAGCGAGAAGGAGAGGGGAGAGGGAGAGGGGAAAAAAGAAAGAATATTTGAAATCTGGTGGTCTTCCCTGGTTTCTTGCCTCGTTACGCTGATGGGGGCAGTGTGTAACCTCCGGGAGGAGCTCGGTCACACCGAGTTCGTCCCGCGCAGAGACACTTCAATGTGAATCAAATAAGCCGAAAACGCCCCCAAAGCTCAATCTTACTTCTAGTAGCAAGAACGATTCTCCAGGACGCTGAGCAGCTCGCCAAATCCAAAGCAGCTATAACGCGTGGTGTTCGCGATTTTATTTTATAGAATGGGCGTTCTGTTTTAGGTTATGGGAGGTGAGTGGGATTGAATACGGTTATTTTTAAATCATCCTCAAACAAACTCCCATATAGGAGGAACGTCTCAGGGGAGGTGAAATACGCATGGCTTGGAGTGGACTATTTATTAGCTACTTTGGAAAATGTGTTGGGTGAGGAGGGGGCTCTTTTTTCTTTTTAAACATTTATTTTGCTGACCTGTTTGGCGAACACGGCTATATCTTCATTGAATGACTCTGACGAGCAGACGTCCCCGCCCGCCACCCCCGGCTCGCGGGGGGTACAAGTAGCTAATTCACATTTCTCAAAAATCAGTGCTAAGAGAGGGAAGAGGGGGTGTCTGCAAGAAAATACAACAGTCACAAACAACACAATGGTTAGTCCTCAAACCACAATCAAACCCACTGGCGTCGAGTCGATTCCGACTCATAGCGACCCTATAGGACGGAGTAGAACTGCCCCATAGGGTAATCTTTAAGGAAGCAGACTGCTGCCACGTCTTTCTCCCGCCGAGCGGCTGGTGGGTTCAAACCGGCGACCTTTCAGTTAGCAGCCTACTGCACCACCAGGGCCCCCTGGTTAGTCCCCAGCCAGTGAAAAAGGCGCCCAAGAAAAACAGCCGTAGGAACTCGAGGCAGGGACACCCACCCTGGCTTTGACATCTACTTTTTTCTTTTCCCTTCCCCCCACCTCGGTGACCGCTCACCTCCCCTTCCTCCCAGGGCCCTTATGTCGGAGGCCCTGAGCTATGGACCGTATCTGAGGATCGGTGCAGCGTTTCTGGCCGGAGAAATTGGTAACATTTGCTAAGGATAAAAATCCAAGCGGTTCCAGCAGCCATTTTGAATTAAGTTTCCCACCCCCACAAGCCCGGGTCCCTCCGCTTCACATCCAGGACCTGGTGGAGGAGAAAGGAGCGGGGGTAAGGGGTTGGGAAAGCTAATTCAAGTAGGTTACTTGGAGGCGGACGCGCGAAGCCCGAGGCCTGGGAGATCTCGGTGGCAGGCGCTCAGCTAACTTCGGCAAAGGACCGACAGTCAGGGGACTGCGCCTACCGATGTCGACCCCATGACCCTCGGAGAGCAGGGAGCCTCCTTCTCGGCTCCCTGCACACTTCCCTCCCCCCACCGATGTTCCCAAGGCCCGCAAAAGAAAGTTGCTTCCACTGTCCCTGCGGTAAAGCCTTTCATTTTGTCTCTGCGGAGTGGCAAAACAGCTGCCATTGCGAGGGGCCTAGATGTTGCTTATCTCAGCCCATAAAGCAAAAAAAAAAAAAAAAAAAATGCTTCTTATAATGCCCAAAGAGGTGTCTCAAGCCTTTTATTAGCTCTCACAGCCCAGCTGGGAATTTAACAGTTCGGGGTCCTTTTCAAAGCTTCCCCAAATGTTCTGTCCCGGAGCCTAAACAATTTGCAGTTAACGCTGCGGACAGAATGCTGGGATTTAAACAACCCCATAGTACAAGGGGCCAGAAAATAAAGAAGAAAGATTTTTGAGCCTGGGAGGGCCAGTGTTGCATAGTTTTACAAAAGAAGAAATTAATCGGAATAAAAGATGCTAGCTACAAAGTAAAAAAAAAAAAAAAAAATCCCCAAATTCATCAGCACACAGTAGGCACAAGTGACTTTCAAAGGATTTTGCTAGTCAAGGATAGAGTCCAGAGTCTAATCGAATGGCCTGAGAGAACGCGGTGTAAACAGCCGCCAGAAAACAGCCCCCGGCCGGAGGGCACCCCGCATCCATTTCTATCTAAACCTGGCACGTTTTGCCTTTGAACACAAAGTGCAAAAACGCCTCGAAGTTTCTTAATATCTGTAAAATTTCAAAGCCAGCCCCTCTCCTTGAAGTCAGTGGTCAAATTCCCTAAATGCAAAACATGTTCCCCCTTGCCTGACCTGCAACTGTCCTCTCTGGATTTTATTGTGCTGTGGAGAACCAGCATGCGGTTGCTGAGTCAACTTAGCAAGTCAGTGGCTTGAAAGATTTTCCCTAAACTAAAACTTTCCTTCTAACACAAAGGCGCCTACATTTAGAACCCCCTAACGCTCTCCCAGCCAAGCCCAGCGAGTGAAGACTCCAACCCGCTAAGCTCTCGAGCCAGGGTCTGAGACGGGCCGAGGGACCTTCAAGCAACTTTTCCCGGACGGAGACCCCCTTGGCAGGCACCGCCGTGGCGGATCCGGACGCTAGGCTGGCGCGGAGGGTGTGTGGAAATGGGTGACTTGGGGGCTAGCTGACTGCCTCCCCAAATTTCCCATGCAATGCTAAAGTCAAGTCCCATACATGTACCTCTATCCGGAGAGCTCCGACTTGCCTCTTACCAACGGCATAGGGAAACAAGGCAAGCATCACATCTCAACTATTTAACCTGCTGCTCGTTGTACCTACCCATAAATGGCATCTTTATCTCTCTTTAAAGCGTCATTGACGGAGGAACCCATGCCGGGGGCCATGGCGTTGGTGTGAGCTGTGTGCGGGTACTGGTGGGAGTGCAGAGCAGGCCCGTGGTTCAGGTGGTGGACCGGCTGCATGGACCTGGCAGCATGCGGGTCCCCATACATCGTGGAGGGGATGCCCACTCCGTCCATGCCCCCGTAATGGGGTAGATCGTCGTACTGCATGACAAACAGGAGATAAGAAGGTTCAGAAGGCCAGACGGGTGAAAGGGGGAAACCGCAGGGCACGAAGCTTATATAATGTCAGTCCAGCTGGGTCCTTCCACCCGGAATGCGGCGGCCTTGCATCTCTCAAGTTAAGATTTCTTATTTAGCAAATAATTTTAAAAGTAAAAATTCCAGGATTCTCTGTGAGACTCAGCCGGGACGAAAGGGCTTGCCCTAAGTTGTGTCCCTATCAACTAATTAAAAAATTCAGGCTCCTTTGGCAAGGCAGGAAGGAAGAAAGAAGGAAAGAAAGGGAGGCTTTCTCCCGGAGGGCGGAAGGTAAAACGTTCAAGTCTCTAGAGGAGGAAATTCAAAATCACAATAGTAAAACGTGCCAGGACAGTGCAGCAAACCCGCCTGGTTTCAGCCCCTTCACATCAGGGTGAATTTAAAAAAAAAAAAAAAAGTTACGATGGGAACAGCTATGCCAAGCACGTGAATTCAGACAGGCTTCTCATTTTATTTCCCTGCCAGTGTGGGGTTAGGCAGTCCTGTAAGACACTGCATTTCCTGTGCTTTCCAAGACAAACTCTGCTAAATTATACAAACTAGCTGCCCCCTTAAAAGTGGAACTCAGGAAAGAGTAGCTTTCACTGTACATTAAAGCTGAATTTACAAATTGGGCAATTTTTCCCCAAAGTGAGAGAAAAATCTATAGTTAAAGAAGTTAATTATTTTATTTGTTTTCCTCTATGAACTGTCCCCCCATACTAGAAGTCAATGAGGCGAATGTTACTCATCAGGTTTAAAGCAAATTCAAAGCAAACATACATATAAACCCATCTTCCTCTTCCATAAAAGCTACTTTCATATTGATTGTCATTTTGTGTGCGAAATTTAGCTATTTCGAATTTCTAATTGCTTCATTCCAAGCAAGTTCTTTTCCCAAGATTTCGAGGTGCTGAGGGTGAAATGATTTTCAAAGAAAAGAGGAATTACCAGTTGCATCTCCTTAAAGCCAGAGGTGTGAAAGGAGCTTGGAAGAACGCTGACATTTGCCTGAACCAAAGGAGTAAAGAAAAATGTGTCAGCCTAGTAACTTTCTTTTGCAAACAGGGCTTTGAGGGCCAGGACACAAATTATGCAAGGAAGGCTTTTTGTGGACCTCTTTTCTTTTAAGAAACTACCTCGGTTGGGTTGTCATTGTCTCACGTTACCCTCACTACATTTCCATTCAAATAGGAATATTGGGGAAATTAGTACGGCATTTTTAAAGTGAGTAGCTGTGTGCTTAGGATCCAATTAGTACAGAACTTAGCTGAGAAAAACTTGCAGAGTATTACCTCGCATAAAAATCTATGCAAATTAAAATTATTGTTAAAAGATGAATATTTTCCGACTCAAATTCCGCTGAGTTGTGACAAAGTTATTTGCTTTGAAAAGTTAAATGCTTCTAGTGAAATAGCAAAGATGAGCATAATCAATAACATACCAGAAGTTTCCAGCTGCTTATTTTAGTTTAAAGATAGCTTTAAACTGGTCTCTGAACGCCCAGTATAGCATTAAGTACCTAGCGTTTTTTGTTTTGTTCTGTTTTTTTAACAGATGATTTCTCGAGCCTGTATTTTTATTTACATAGCTGCTGGTTAGGAATCTATAGAAAGCTTGATTACCTGAATTAACAATTACAGATAACTTACATAAAAGTCTAGACATGCATTGAATAAATCTCGCTTTAGGCCACGGCTTTAGGAGCCTCATTCAAAGAGAAAGAGAGAGGAAAAAAGGAAACTTTTTAGCAGGGTCCTTCAGCCACGTTTCAATTTAATCTCACATTTGAGTTCCACAATTGTTTTTGAATACGTACCCTTTGCGCCATCGGCCTCCCTTCCTACTTCAACTTCTAATATATCCTCTTTAAGGCCAGTGTGAAAAGAAACAAATACGCAAACTCCCCCGGAAAAAAAAAAAAAAAAAGAAGAGCACGGCGAAAAATCCTTTAACGTCTCCAGCAACGTGAGCTACCGGTCCCAGATCTTCGGTCTAGGGGACCTGAAGCAAAGCGCCCGAGTCACCGAGCATAAAAGCGCTCCGTTTCCAAGACAGCAGCGGGGGCAAAAAAAAAAAAAAAAAAAAGAAAAGAAAGAAAGAAAAGAAAAGAAAGGAAGAAAGAAAGAAAAGCAGGTCTTCTCTTCTCTCCCCAAAAATTCAGTTAAAAAAAAAAAAAAAAAAGAGCGCCCCTCAGACCCAACTACCAAATCTCATGGCTTTCTGCCACTCCGGCTGTCAATCACAGGCGAGGTTGTCAACGTGGTGAATGAATGATCATCCGCTCTGTCTTCTTCTGGTCAGAACACCTCAAATGTTAATATTCAAATGCACAAAGCCCTAGCGCTCGCTTTCTTTGAATCAGTCCTAATTCCTAATCAGTTTCTCTCTTCTCTCGCTCTTTCTCTCTCTCCCTCTTTGCAACGGCTGCACTGAAGGAAGATTAGAGGAGGAGGGTTTAAAAAAATGTCTGAGTTTGTCTTAAAGGAGCCACGATCGATGCTGCCCGCTTGCAGTCCCCGTGCGTGTGTAAAGTGTGTGTTGCACAGGCGGAGAGGTGGATTCCGACCAGAATGCTAGAACCCGGAAGTAGTGGTGGCCATAACAGGTCGCGTCTTACACAATGCATTGGGCTGCAGCAAGTAGGCTCCTCGGCAGGGGTGGGTGCGCGAAGCGAGCTCTGGCCGCACTGGAGAGGCAGAGAGGCGCTCTATTAAATCGCACGCCCAGGCACAAACACTCACACACCCAGGGCATACGCACACAACTGCGGGGAGCAGCACCCGGCCGTTTGCTTTATTTTCCATATTCTTTTCTCTCCACACCCCCCTCCGGCCTCTCTCCCCAAAGCAGACTCTTGAAATAAATTGGGAATAAACGCCGGGCAGGCAGCAGCCGGAGCTATTTTGCACAGGGCTCCGCGCATAGACTTCCTGACTTTTCTCGAAATTACTGGGGTCTGCCAGTATTTTTCGGGGCAAGGGGTGCAGAAAGTGCCATCTCCTCAGAACTAAACACCCCAAGGGGAAAAGTCAAACGGGGAGCGAGGACGAGGAGGAGGAGAAGCAGGAGCGAGGTTGGGAAGGCTATGTTAAGGAGTCCTGAGAACGTAGGTTGGAGATGGCTCCGGCTTTCTGCAGACCCTTCTTAGAGTTTTTTTTTGCTGTCAGAGATGGATGCCGGTCCCCGGGAGGGGAAATGCTTGCATTTTCTCGCTTCGGGTCTGGGCGCCTCGGCGGCCCGGAGCCCTAGCCCGGGCGTCCTGCGCGAAGTGAGAGAGGAAGGGAGGGAACAATGAGCTGAGCGCCGGGAATGTGCCTCCAGCGCCTGTTTACAAACACGAAGCTATTTATGATCGCCGGAAAGCGAAACCCGACGCGGGCTCTGAGCAGCCCAGACCTCGCGGGCGTAGCTGGGGCCGGGGAGCCGCGGGTAGGGAGGCTCTTTCTCCGACCCGCTCGGGGCGAGGCGGCCGTGCGCCCAGGGCGCGGCGCGGCGCGGCGGGGTCGGCGCGCTCGGCTCTGGCTGCGGCCGCGCTGCCTTTGTCTTCGAGGCACCGAGGGGCTCGGGCCTGGAGGGGGCCGGTGCCCCCAGCTCTCTCCTCGCGTCACCCCTCCTCCCCCCAGCCCTCTTTCTCTCCATTCCGCTTTCCTGTTCCCAGCCCGGCTCGGCAAAAACTCCCGGTGCCAGGGAAAAAGAAATCCACCTCCGGAGTCGAGATTTCAGACAAAAAGCTGCTCCTACACACAACTCGGAGGCTCCAACCAACACACTGGTTTTAACTTTCTCCCTTTAAATACCTTTTCTTTGGGCTTAAAAAAAAATGTTCCTTTTCTTTATTGTCTCACTCTAAGCTCGCCCTTTATTATTATATTTATTGGTGTTATTTATTTTTCTGCCCGCCCGGCTCTGATCTGCCGAGATGGCTCAGACGCAGCAGCTCGACCAGCGGGCTGCAAACCTCGCATCCCGGAGCAGGGCTCGCAGCTCGCCCGGCTCGGAGCAGAATTTTTTTTCCTCCCTCCAGCTGAAACCTCGCAGAAAACTCCCCCTGCGGTCTGCTGGAAAATGAGCTCACCCAAATCTCGGTAGGCAGCCGTGCAGGAGGGCTCGGCCAATCAGGAGGCGCCCCCGCCAAGACGGCCGCGCATTGGCTGCAAGGAAAATCAATTATCAAATAATCGATCAGCAGGGAGCTTCGATCTGCCGGGAATGCAAACTGCCAGTCCCGATTCCCGCCCTGAGAATGGCCAAAAGGCTGACTCCCCCAAAGAAGCCAGCACAGTGCGCCCATCGTCCCCACCCCCATCCCACCCCGTCAGCTGCGGATCAAACTCTAACCCCAAGGGGTGGTGTAGGTAGGAGGAAGAGTTTTGAGATTAGGGGGATCCCTTCACGCTGATAATGTTGCAAAAGGTTAGAGCTCTGAGATGTATTGAATCCGGCTCTTAATGGGCAGAGCGAAAGAGAATTTGCATCCGTGCGCGAGATAGGATTGAAGTTTCTCTTGAGTGGGCTTCCGAAGAGCAGGGGACACAGGGCGAGCATCAGAACCTAGGTCTCGAATTAGGTTCCACCGAGCGCACGCAGTCTGCCTGGGCGACATCTACCCGTTTATTTTTAGCATTTCGCACGAGTCAACGCCTAGTTCCCCCAATACTGGAGCCATTTCCATAGAGCCGAGCAGCTGAGCCTTCCCAGCCTGCTGTGCCCTACCGCCACCCCCACCCACACCACACTCGACCCATGTGTGACTTAGGGGCTCACACACACGTTCACCCAAAGACTTCAGATGCACTTTGTCTTGAAAGAGTCAAACTTCTTTAAAAAAAAAAAAAAAATCCCTAGAATCCCTCATTATTTGCTTCTCGGTCTCCGACACACGTTCTAGGATCTTTTACTTTTCTTCGTCGCATACATGTGTAGCGTTTCCTGGCACAAATGCCCCGATCCAACACGCG